GCTCTGCCTCAGGCATCTCCAGTCTGCCTGGAAGCCCATGCTGTGCAGTTCTTCCTTTTTGGATATTGTATGTTTCAGTACTATGTTCTCTGATTTTTCTTCGTAAGTTTTTTGGAAACTCTATTTTCATTTGTTCCAAGGGTGTTTTCCCTTCTCACAGCGTTCTTATTACAGATCCTGTAAAGCTGTCATCAGTTGATGTTTATCAAGTCATCACACTGTACACTTTGGGTATCTTACAATTTTGTTACTTATACCTCAGAAAGTTTGGCGAGGCAGGGATTGTCAGGTGAGGCTAACGTCCATGTCTTCTTGGCCATTACAGTTGACGATTTTCTTTACCCAGGAAGGCTGAGAATTTCCTGACTCTTCTCACGCTGAGTGTTCTGGACCTCGTAACCCTCTCATTTTGAGTGGATGCTCCGAGACCCGGAGTCTCCTGTGAATCCTGTGGGTGATGCTGATACTCGTGTTGACGAGACCCTTGACCTGGCTGGATGCAACCTGTGAGCCCCGGCCAGGCTTCTGCGGCTGCGCTCTCAGTGTCCGCGCCCTGCATCCCCCGCGGTCCTCCTCGGGGCCGCCCCTGGACCGCAGCATGGGCTCAGCCTTCCCTCTGTTCTCCATCTTGGGTTTCGTGTGGGATCCACCCGCACAGCTCCGGGTCTGGTTTTCCCAGTCCCTTCCTCCTCCACAGCCTCCCTGGTCCTCTCCCGCACCCTCCTGCAACCACACAGGCCTCTGGGGCCGGGCAGCAGGAGCAGAGAGACAGAGAATGCAGGGGGCCCAGCCACCTTTGGGCCCACAGCTCTTCCCCTTAGAAAGGACGTTTCTCCTCAGAGCTCTCAGCACATGCCGGCCTCCACCATTGCCACCCCCTGCATACACCGCAGGATTGCCTGGGGGCCAAAGAGTTCATGACAGTAGCCCTGGGGGGGCTTCCCCCTCCTCAAGGCAGCAAGGGCTCCTGGGCTCCGTCTGCACTGGCGCCACCTCCAGGGTCCAGGCCGCAGTCCGCCCTGTGTGCGTGCAGAGTCCCTTCAGTCGTGTCTGACTGACCCCCTGGGCTGTAGCCCGCCAGGCTTCTCTGTCCGTGGGATTCTCCAGGCAAGAACACTGGAGTGCGCTGCCTTTTCCTTCTCCAGGGGATCTTCCTGACCCAGGGATCGAACCTGCATCTCCGAAGTCTCCTGCATTGGCGGGTGGGTTCCTTACCATTAGTGCCACCTGAGAAGCCCACAGTCAGTCTAGGGATTTTTGAAGTAAAAGTGGCAAACGGGTACATCATCGCAGTGCGTCTTCAAATTCCTCTTCCCCAGCCTTTCGTCTCCACAGCCCTCAAATGGCTGCCCTGTGCTCTGTGCCCAGGCTTCATAGAGGCGTTCAGTAGCGTGTGCTCACCCCATCCCCTGTCGCTCCTGTGGTCTCCCTCTCGGGTTCCTTCCTGGGAAGGTCGTCTGGCTGCTCTGATGCTGAGACAGCATCAGGTCACGTTAGCCAGTTTACTCTTGAAGAGCACGTGGTGTCAGAACTCCTGGATTCACCTAATCAGAACCTGGCACTCACTCCAGGGTGTTGCAGGCTCCCTCTGTGCCAGAGGCCAAAGAAGGCCAGGCCTGGGCTGGAGAGCCCCTGGGAAGTCGGAAGCCTGCCAGGCGACTGTAACCCGGGCGTGGACACCAGGTTCAGTGCTGTGGCAGGGCATCCCGCAGGCATGCAGTGTCATCAGCAGCCCGGCCCATGGTGTCCCATCCAGCAGCCCAGGGAGAGGGAGGGTTTAGGAAATAGTCTTCACCAGGTTTCCGTGGCTACAGTGGGCGGGTCTGAATAGTCACCCAGACTGAAGTGGAAATGACAGGTCCTTCGGATAAAAGAGAGCTAAGAAACAGTCTTCCAGCAGAGCCAGCCTCGACCCAACCTGAGCCCCAGAACAGGCTGGAGAGGGCGAGGGAGAGGAGCGCCCAGAGTGGCCTGTGGAGGCCAGCCTGCCCTCCGTGGGGACCTTCACAGGAGAGAAAGGTGGTGGTTCAGTGGTTGCCCCTTGCTGCTGCTGTTGGCCAGTCACCAGGTCATGTCCAGCTCTTTGCGACCCCACGGACTACGGCACGCCAGGCTTCCCTGTCCCTTACCGTCTCCCAGAGTTTGCCCAAATTCATGTCCATTGCAGGTGATACCATCCAGCCATCTCATCCTCTGTCATCCCCTTCTCCTCCCGCCTTCATACTTTTCCAGCTCCAGGGTCTTTTCCAGTGAGTCAGTTCTTTGCATCAGGTAGACAAAGTGTTGGAGCTTCAGCTTCAGCATCAGTCCTTAGGGCCACCTGAAATGACGGTCCCACCGCTAAAGATTTATGTGGTCACCTCACCAAGACTCTTGAGTCCCTTGGACTGCAAGGAGATCCAACTAGTCCATCCTAAACGAGATCAGTCCTGGGAGTTCATTGGAAGGACTGATGTTGAAGCTGAAACTCCAGTACTTTGGCCACCTCATGTGAAGAACTGACTCATTTGAAAGACCCTGATGTTGGGAAAGAGTGAGGGCAGGAGGAGAAGGGGACGACAGAGGATGAGATGGTTGGATGGCATCACTGACTCAATGGACATGAGTTTGGGTAAACTCCAGGAGTTGCTGATAGACAGGGAGGCCTGGCATGCTGCGATCCATGGGGTCGCAGAGTCGGACATGACTGAGCAACTGAACTGAACACCTTCAAGAGAATGTGTTTTCCACATTATGTTCATTTTTATGAGCAGATATTTTACTACATTTCAGAATGATATTCAACAGCTCACAGTGTCCCCCCCCCACCAGTGTTGCCCCTCCTTTTTGGAGAAGTGGGGCTCAGGTCTGATTTTTGCACAGGTCGGGGGCAAGGGCATTAACTCTGAGAGCTGCTTAAGACTAATTAATGCATTTGCTCCCTACAGGATGGATTGAGTTCCAGGTTAAAAAAAAAAGATGTGCTTGATTGCAAAATACTGCATTTTTGGAGCTATTTGTCCTAATATATTGCCGGGCATGTACAAGATGAGAAATGGTTTCCCGTGAAAAATTGACAATGAAGCCGAAAATGTTTGATAAACTCTGTGCTCACACATGGGCTTGTAATTGTTTTATTATACGATGCTTCTGCCCTTGGAAGGAGAGGCGGTCTGTGACTTGGCAGTAACCCATCAGAGCAGCCCCGGGGTCTTGCACTCCAGTGAGGGTGGAGGAGCGGACATGGCTCCCTGGAGCTGCTCTGTCTCCAGTCCCTTCACATGCACCCCTTGCTGTCCCTGCCGGTTCAGTAGGTTCCCGACTGCTCTCCTGGACAGCGTCTGCTCCCCAGGCCAGAGCACAGAAGACGGGACCTGCAGCTCTGCGCTCTCAGAGGACGGCTGGAAATTGGCCTTGGCGTCTTGCAGTATTGACTTGGGCTGCTTTTATTGTTTCTTTTTCAAGACAGCTGTCCCTGAAACCTCTTTTTCTCCAAGTTACCACCAAGCTGCCTTGCTTTTCTTTTTTCTTCCTTTTATTTTTAAGTTAGGCACAACAGTGGTGACAATAATAATGATTAACAGTTTGATTTCAAAACGGTTTCTAAAGAAATCACAGTAAACAAAGTCTGTTTGCCTAAGGAAACCCTCGCAGCAATCAGCTAGTCACACAACCGCATGTGCTAATGAACCCAAAGCTGTTAATGTGGTTTCTTCAGTTAAATTGATTCATGAATTTTGAAGAGAACATTATCTAATGAATTTTCTTTGAATAGAAAGCAATTAAAAGGACAAATCAGTCTGATTAACCCCAAAGTCACCCTCCTGCCACAAATGGTGTAGAGTTTGAAATTATATCATAAAAAACTGGAGCACATTTGCTATCTTTCTGCCCTCTACTAATCCATGTAAATTAATGAACAACAAAGTCAATTTCTTTGCTGACCCTTTTCTAGTATCACCTGGATTATGCTGATGTTTAATTTGCTTAATGTTATAATAAAGACTAAACAGATTTTTTTGCCAGTGAAGTGATTATCATTCCCTTCAGTTAAGAAGTGATTTTTATTATTTAACACGCATGTAAGGGTGTGTTTCCTTTAAGAACCAAATCGCAATTGGCCAGCTTGGCATGAAGTATAATTAGTGCTGTTGCGGACCCAGGAACTGCCCGTGGAATCCTTCCCTTTTGTCGCTGTGTTGGGCGCTCCTGCCCTCGCCCTAGGGGAGGTGCGTGGGGGGGCAGCTCCCTGTCCCATGCTTGCAGGCACGCGTCTTCTGGGGAAAGATGAGAGGCCTCAACTGAGACGGCCCGGCCTGTGCCCAGCTTCTCTGCAGTGCCCTGCACACCCAGAAGCGCGCTCGGCCTGCAGCAGAGGGAGAGGCTGTTCTGTGTCCTCCTCTTCACCCCTGCAGCAGCTTGATGTGGCTGCTCATTAAAATGGAGGCAAGGCTGTTTTATCTTTGCCGCTCTGCTCCTTACGGATGCCTGGAGCCAAGGTCACCGTCAGCCTCATGGACCGTGGTATCTGGCATCCTAAGCCTGCTCGCTCTCGGGTGTGGACGGCTAAGCTAGCGTCACACCATGGTCCAGCCCACAGCCTCCTTTTCCTTCTGCATCCCAGCTGGAGTCGGAATTGAACAAGCGGTAAAAAGCTTCCAAAGTTGGTGTGCACGCAGGGCCTTCTGTGCTTGTGAAGTGAACCGTGTGCCGATCCACACCCGCCCGGGCCCCAGGAGAGCGTGCTGCAGGCCCACCTGGAGCTCTGGGGAGGTGGGGAGGTCAGCTGTCTGTGCTGCCCACTGGCGAGGCCTGCAGAGGTGCCGGCCGGCCCTCGGCTCACCTCCCGCGCATCCTCCTCCTCGGTGACGTGGTGACAGGACCCCGTGCAGAGCTGGGTTTTAATTAAGTAACACCTCTGTGTACGTTGTTACGTTTTCTCTTTCAGGACTGGCAGCTGTTTGTATCTTAGCTGTTGGAGGTGTTTGTCCCAATAACGTCATTTGCTTTCTCCCTTTCAGAGTCATTCACCAGACAGGTGTTATGGAAGCTGCTGAAGCTTGTGAAATTCGGAGAAACGGTTTCTTACCAGCAATTAGCAGCCCTGGCGGGCAACCCCAGAGCAGCGCGGGCCGTGGGAGGAGCCATGAGGAGCAACCCTGTGAGTGTGAGGCTGCGGGGGTCAGCCCAGCTGCCGTCAGCAGGGCGCTGAGCTCAGGGTCCAAGGTCCTTTGATTCAGGCGCGTGTCAGAGGGATCTGGGCTGCTGGGGAGGAGGGGAGGTGTTCACGTCGGGGCCTCTGGATGAGGGCCGTCCAGTCTCGGAAGGCTGTGGTGTGGGTCTGGCTGAGGCCACACTCGTCTGAGGACCCTGCAGGGGGTGGGAAGGGCACCCCATCCACACGGCAGCTCGGCCTCGGAGCCCTCACACGATTGCACAGGGCCCTGGAACGTCCCCAGTGTCATTGATCTGCGGTGCCCGTCAGACCCGGGTGTCGTCACCCTGGGAGGGTCTCTCCCTGAAGCCATAGGGACCCTGTAACATGGTGGGAGAGTGCCATCCAATCGGGAAAACCAATAGATGGTCACATCGTGGGGTGGGGAGTCACTCCATCAGATCGACCCAGTTTTTAAAATGTCGCTGTGGCTTTGCTGTGTGTTTCCTGTAGGGTCTCCCTCCACACTCGCAGGGGAGAGGTGGGCTTTGCCCAGCACGGCCTGCAGCCCCCTCTCCTCGGCTGGCAGCCCCCCCCGGGGCAGGGCCAGTGTCTTGGGAGGATGGCCACTTGGGCTTCCGCACAGAACCGCACCATTGCTGGTGCAGGGGCAGCTCCTGTGGGTGTGCGTGCATGGTGTACGTCCGTCTGGAGAAGAGTCTGCGTCCGTGTTAAACACCGCAGATTGTCAGGAGCAGCGTGCGGCGGAGGCTGGGGGAGCGGGTCGGGGTCGGGTTTGCACCCCTTGTGCTTCCATTACAGCGTCCCAGTGTGTCGTTCACACATGCCGCCTCCACACCCTGCAGGCCTCGTTTGTACGGCACACGTGGATGACCCTGGATCAGTTTCCAGGGGTAACTGCTAAGGTTTCCCAGTGACGCTGATGCGGCTCTTCCCATCTGGAAGGCCCCCGCCTTCTCCCAGCTCACTCTGTTGGACAGTTTGACTTCGCCCCCCCGTGCTGTATGTCCACTCAGGGCCTCCAGGTGAGCTCTGGAGGTGCCTGCTTCCTGCATCCCAGGGTCACCGAGCTGTGTAGAAAATCTCCCGTCTGTCCACACTCCGTTCATGCCCTGGGGATGCTTGGTCCTTCTGCTCCCCTCCCTGAGGCTGGCCTTGTGTCCCAGCACAGCCTGCCCCCTCAACGTGTGCATCTGTGCTCACTGACACGCACAGGTGCGGAGCCCACACCCGCCCCTCTTGACACCCACAGGTCCTCGCTGTCTGAAATGGCCAGGCCATGGCTGCTGGCGACGGCATGTGTGGCAGCACTCGGAAGCCTTTATTTTCCTGCAGGCAGCAGGACTGCCTCCTCCTGCTGCTAATCTCTGTGCCTGTCTTGCTCAACTATGGCCTCAGCCCCTGACATCTGTGAAGCAGGCTTGCACAGGGCCTGAGACGCATCTGTCCTTGCAGTCCCTGTCCTGACTTCCCCGTGGGCACGTGCCCAGGTGGCCTGCGGACACGGGGAGGATCCTTCCTGTACCGTGGCCCTCGTGGTGGTGCCGTCCCGTGACAAGGACAGTGCGGCGGCTGTGAGCTGCTGGCCTTGCCCTGGACATCCCTCTGTTGCCAGGCACTGCCTGGCCTCACGCAGGAACCCCAGCCTGAAGAGAAGGTTGCAGAGGACCCAATAGATGCCTCCAGGGGTGGCTCAGAAGAGCTGGGGTGCTCCCGGAAGGAGACAGCCTGCGTGGGGTGCAGCTTGGCCAGCTCGGCAGAGGCAGCTATGCTCAGAGGTCTTCAGATCGTCCATAGAGCGGGCTGAGGGGTCCTAAGGGGACAGGGACCTGAAGGGATAAGGGGCCGAGTCAGGGACTGGACCCAGCTCATGCGTCCCTTCTCAGTGCCGACGGCAGAGCCCAGCTGCAGAGCCACACACGTGGGCTCCAGCGCAGGGAGCGTGGCCTGGAGACGTACCCAGTGAAGCCGTCTCTGAGCTCGGGAGGAGCGTGATGGACAGGTGGATGCAGAAGTCGCAGAAAGCCCTGGCGCCACGGTGCGCCCGTCCTTGGTGTCCGTCAGTAAGCGAGGACACGTGACGGCCTGTGCTCGAGGCGGGGGCTGCTCCCCCGCAGACTCAGGGGCAGTGTCTGCTGCTGGGGGGTTTCAGCCGCCCCAGGCCCTTAGTTTTTCCAGAATTTTCCATGAACAGATTAATAACCCAGGTGTAATGACTTGGTAGCCCTCCAGAAGGCCCTGTCCCAGGCCCAGCCCTTGGCGGCAGTCTTCTGGTGGGGCAGGTTGAGGAGGGCTCGCACCCTGCCTCGTAAAGCCCCGTCCCACTCATCCTCAGAATTTGCAAATGCAGTTCAGAGGCAGTCAATACTTGCCAGAGAGTTTCCCCGCCGTTTCCTAAACAAGTGCATTCCTGAGGAGCTCGCTTATTCGCAGATTTGCCATGAGCCTTAATGAGCCCCCGAGTCTTGTCCTGCCAGTCACCCAGATGGCTGTTGATAAAGATTTAGCATCATGTTCTAAGTGTCAGGGCTGTCAGTGGGGCTGGACCATTTGACCAGAAGAAAAAAACGCACAGGGAGCTATTGATTACAGCTTCTCAGTGTCACTTGTTCACCAGGATTTAGGTATTGATGAGGCCGCAAGTGAAAACAAGCTCTTTCCCTTGTGGGCTGCTACCCACAAGAACAAAGGCAAAGCTGGAGAAAATATTCAGCCAGCACCAGAATCAGAGGGATTCCATTATTGATTGAAAGGCCCCTTCGTGTTATTTTTGTTGGAGACAAATCTATGGGTTTGGAAGTTTTATAGCATTTGAGAAAGGGTCTGTGTAAGTGATGGATTCATGTATTGGATGAATTAGATTTCACAGCATGAAGATTTCAATGCAGCTATGATATTATGAGCTACTTGGTTATTGATAAAAATTACATTTCATGCAGCACAGGCTTTAAAGGAGAGGGCATAGAGAGTATGGATCCTTTGAAATGTCCTTAGGGGCACAGTGAATTTTAGCAGGTTTCATTGTTTTAACAGTCTGGAACCTGTCACTGAAATTAGCATGAACAGGAGCAGCGTTGCCGCTTCTGGAGGTGAGAAGCGCGTGTGTTTGGTCAGTCACCAGTTCCATCAAAGACAAAGACTGACCATAGCTATCTCTATAATTGTTATTCCAGGCCAGCAGTCTGTTATCTGCATGGTGCATAGAAAGAGAGGGTCACATTACACACTTACAGTTTTGTAGCTTGTTGGGCAAGAGGGAAGAAAAGCAGAGCTTGTGTGTGAAGTCTGCTGCTTGGGGGAAAATTGAATTGGGGCCTACATGTTTATAAAACTAAATTGAATTAAGTATCTACCTCCTTATCAGTCAAAAACTTGAATTGTGTATTATCTAATCATGTCCTCCCAGCAATTATTAATGTGACTATTGTATTTGATAAAAACCCCCAATCAGAGCAAACACTCTGTTCCTAAAGTTTTCTGTTCCCCCTGGTTGTGTGCTGTGGGCAGGCCCAGCAGTGTGACCACTTCTCGCTTGGTTAAACTGCACAGGAGAGGAAGCCCACGCTGTCCTCAGCACTCGGGGTCAGAACTCCACAGACAGCACGTCACGATGGCAACCCAAAATCCGAGGCAGGACTGGTCTGTGAGACGGAAGAGGTCAGACTGCCACCTCCGGGCCCTGCCTCTGCAGTCCCCCAGGGCAGCATGCAGAGTGCAGGCCTCCAAGCAGCTCGGACTGGGCGAGAGGCTGGCTGCGCCTTCAGGTTGCGGCGTCTGGCCTGGGCTCCACAGAGGGTGTGGGGTCACAGCGTGCGCGTCAGGCATGTTCTCCCTGCCGTGTCCTTACTGAGCAGCGCATGGCCAAGACAGGACAGGGCCGGGGATCCAGCCACCCTCCCGGGACAGGGGCCACCCCACAGAGGGGCACCCAGGCGGGTGTGTGTGTCGGGTGCCAGCAGGTGACAGCCTGCTCCCTCCGCAGGGAAGGCCTCCAGTGAGGGCAGGGATGACCTCCCGGGGAGCAGGGGTACCTGGTTTTCTTGGGAGGAGGCCCCTCACACGTGGGGTCTCTGAAGGCCTGGCCCAGCTCCCCACCATGGCCCCTCTTCCAGACAGGACCCCCGTGCCAGGGGGCAGGCGGTCCCTCTAGCAGACTCTGCAGGTGCTAGGTGGACACGTTCCTGCCTTCCTCCAAGGACGGCGGCTCAGTGAGTCGCCCTCCCCTTGAGGGTGGGGAGGGGGCGAGACCAGCGCAGGAGCACCCCCCACCACCTGCAGTCAGAGCCCCGTGTGGACAGCAGCCCTCACCTCCAGGAACGGACCTGCAGCTGCCAGGGGCCTCTCCGGCCTCCTGCTGAGGCGGCCCCGGCCAGGAGGGCAGGGTCCTTCTGGTGGGACTCGCCTGTGCAGCTGCAGGAGGAGCCGTGTCCAGCGCCTGTGGGCCCTGCCGTCCGCTCCGTGGGGCCTCAGGCTCCCACAGGTCCGCATGCAGCCGGCTCCGGGCCTGTCCATGGTGTGCCGGCGCCGGGGGAGGCCCTGTCCTCGGGAAACTCACAGCTGGTGTGCAGGCCCCCTGCCTGTCCAGCCTCCTGGGAACTGGGCCTGCACTGTCCTGGGCTGAGCTGGTGCCGCAGCGCTGCGAGCTGCAGGTGAGGCTGTCTGGGAGGTGGTGCTGGGCCCGTGTTTGCTGGTGTGTCTCAGGGACGCTCAGCACCTGGGCAGCTGTCACCCCCAGGATCCTAGCAGTACAGCCTTTTTGACGGTCGGGCGGTTCTCCATGTTTGTGTTTGTTTTCATTGTGAAGTCACCTTGCTGATTTAGGCAGGCATCTAACCACTGCACTTGTCGCCAGGTGTGAAAGGCACGGGGCAGTTTTGTCTTCCTGTTAGGGCTTTTTTGGGAGGTGGGGATGCCACCTCCTGTGGCAGGAGGGATGGGGGGCATGGCCCCAGGACAGAGGGTCCATCCATCCTGGGATTCAGGGGTCTGGTGACTGCTTCTCAGATAGGAACAGATGAGAACTGGAGCTTCTCAAACTTTCTGTTTCAGAGGCTAAGGAGGGAAGCAGCCCCCACCCCACCCCCAAGTCCACTGGTGTCTGTAAAGCCGGGGGTGGCAAGCGATTCCTGTAAAGGGCAGGACATTAATGTTTTAGGTTTTGCAAAAGCAGCCACAGATAGTATTTACCAAGTGGGCATAGCTGTGTCCCAATAAACCTTTATTTACAAAACCAGGTGTGGACTGCATGGGCCGCATTCACAGTTCGCCAGCCTTGGGGTTAGAGTGGCCTCTGAGCACGGCATTCCCTGACTTTCCTCTTACTTCTCGGAAATGTTTGGGAACTTTGCAGGGATGTCTTCTTGGGAATGTCTTCTTAACTTCTGTATGTATACATTTTTTTTTTTGTACGTATACATTTTAAATCACCTATCAAGTGAAATTGTTTTCTCCTCCCAAATCCTAGCATGAAGGGATTCTCTAGAACCCAGCCTTTTTGGCACTAGGAACCAGTTTTGTGAAAGACAGTTTTTCCATGGACCCGGGATCAGATGGGGGGTTGGTTTCGGTTGCACCTGCCCCTTCCCACCTGTGGTGGGACCTGGTTCCTCACAGACCACAGACCGGTGTGGGTCCGGGGCCTGGAGACCCCTGCTCTAGAAGATGCCCCACATTTACCTTGGGCCGTTGGGCCTGCCCCAGCCCACCCAGGACACTCAGAGGCCAAGGGGTGACTCGTGTTGAGATGGGGCCTGCACGTGGCTGGGCGGGGCGCTGGGTGGGGCATAGAGCCAGGCTGACGTGGCGCCTGCACATGGTTGGGCAGGGCCGCTCGGCCGGGCCGTGGGCCCAGGCTGATGTGGCCACCTCACTCTCTTGCAGATCCCCATCCTCATCCCATGCCATCGAGTGGTCTGCAGCAGCGGGGCCGTGGGCAACTACTCTGGAGGCGTGGGTGTGAAGGAGTGGCTGCTGGCCCACGAGGGCAGTCCCGCGGGGAAAGCGGCCCGTGGAGGGGGCTCCCGTGCCGCCGAATCCTGGCGCGGGGCCCTGGGTGGCACTGCCAGCTCCCAGCCCGCTGGCCGAGACTGAGTGTGCGTGAGCAGCTTGCTGGGTGTGGGGTGTGTACTGGGAGGGTGGGGGGGTGGGGTGTATTAAGAGGGGGTGGGGGGGTGTGCTGAGGGGGGTTGTGCCTCATTAAAGGAGCCGGAGTCTCAGAGGTGTCACGTGTCTGCTTCTTTATGTTTTACCACGAAGTGAGCCCAGAGACTGACCCTGTGCGTCCAGCTTGTTCCCTTTTGTCACTGTTATTGTCCCCTTGCTAATTCTCTGGAGTCAGAGGTGAGAAAATGGGAGCCTGGCCAACGTGAGGACGACTGCCCTGCAATGAAGGGGCATCTGATGCCCGCCAGGAACCGCTGGCTGCCTTGGATACCATGGCAGTACCCAGAGCCAGCCAGCCTCGGACCCCCAGACCCTCATGCAGGTCTATCCTCAGCAAATTGGCCTGCCTACAGCGTGCTCCATGCCTGCGCTTTTCTCTCAGCTGCCAAAGCTGCTGGGATGATGCTACTGAAGGAACGGGGCAGCCCTGAAAAGACATGCTTACCCAGAGACTCCAGCTTTATCTTCCCAGCTGCCAGAAGGCTAATACATTTGGGGTTGAGTCAACGGAATAGAAAATAGCCACTTGCCAGAATAATTTGGGAAAACAAACAGCTCTTTGTGCCTGAGGTGGCCCCTCCTGAGGAGTGCAGTCTCACGCAGCCGGTCTCACCACTCCTGGCCTGAGTTCTCTCGGGACCCAGGGCGATGAGGGATGCCCACCTCTCCTTCCTGACCAGCGACCTAGAGCCTGGAAGTCCGGCCGCCTGCGAGGTGGGTCAACTCCGGTCACAGTGCGGGTGGGGAGTGTGTCCCGCGCCTGCTGTGCACACCATCTAACGCGTGAGTGCCATGGTGTCGGCTTAGCTTCACCATCAGCCTAATCCAGAAAGCATCAGGGAGGCTTGTGGCTATGTATGTGGATGAATAAAATGTAGCCTATGATGGGTGGAGGAAATAAACAGTGCTTGGCTGTGCAATAGAAAGCTGTGTTTTTGTCAGGGGCACCTGCGACAGTGTAGACAGCAGCAGGAAAGCTCGATAGTGTGTGTATCCCCACACCTGGGTAAGGGCATAGCCCTGGATGTGTGTGGTTTGGGTGCACTTTTGTGTTATCTCAGCACTGACCAAGGAGCAGGTACCTCACACAGACTAACTAGGCTTTTCTCACCAATATACAATTTATTACATCGTTTTCTTACATCAGCCAAATTCTGGGTTTTTCTCTCAAAAATAAAATACAACCGTTTCCCCATTGTCTTCTGATCTCCTCCTTGGGACTTCTTTAGAGCCGAACCAGACAGAGTCTTTACAGGGAGCTGCCTGGATGTCTGATTTCTGTGGACGGACCCCGAGTCTCCCTGCTCCAGCCACCCAAGCTCATGGCTCCCTGGGTGAGCCTCAAGAGCTGTGAGTGACTCACCTTCTGACATGGCAGGAGGGTGAGTGGGGCCCCAGGTGCCCTTCGCATCTGGAGGCTATGAGGGTGGTTGTGTTCTGAATTCTCTGAGGAAAGGCTCTGCTCCAGGGATTTGCAGACCCCAGGACCCTGCTATCGGCATAGAACCACCTGCTGGGCGGCAGCCCCAGCTCCCAACCCTGGGGCCTCGATGTGGGGCTGTCAGCGCTTCTGATAGAGGGCGCCGCCGAAGGGTGCTGGGCTGCGCTGGGGAGGCCCAGCCCCTGCTGCTCAAGGAAGGACTTGATGACAGAATGCGCTAGAACTCCACTGAAGGCCCTGGGACAGTCCCTGGGGTATGTGCCATCTGCCCCGGTCGCTGCAGATGGGCAGACCTCTCCTCAGTGCTCAGACCCTGAGGATGTGTCCCAGGCCCCACACCCTCTGCTCTCGGGCTGCTCCTGGGCCTGGAGAGTGGGGACCCCTCAGGGAGGGGACCTCCTGCTGTGATCTCCAGGTGCCCTAGCAGCAGGCAGCAAGGGAGGGTCCCAGACCACGCAGCCCGCCGGGGCCAGGCCCCACCCCCAGGGCATCCTGTCTGGGCTCCGCACGCCCTTGGTGCCACACGAATGGAGTTCCATCTCCCGGGCCCCAGCAGCAGAGCCGCCCCAAGTGTGGGCCTCAAACTAGCCCAAGGCCGGCAGACCCCACGGGGGCCTCCCAGAGCCACTGTGGCTGGAGGAGCAGCACGTTGCGAAAAGGAAGAGGACAGGAAAGGCACAGCGAGACACAAGAATGTCCTCCCAGCGGAAAGGTACACTGAGACAAGGACAGGCTCTGCCCTTGCCGTCGGCCCCAGGCCCGCTCGCGTGCGGGTCCCTCCATCCAGCGCCCAGGCCTGCGGGGCAGCCACACGGCACGTGCACAACGCGCTCGCTCTTCCTGCAGACCCGGGTCGTGGAGGGTTCAGAAAAGAGATTTGTTTTTGCAGAAGCATTTGTTGTGAACTGGCTGCCCTTGACCTTCAAGAGGCTGAGCTGCGGAGGGCTGGCCTGTCCCCGGGGTTAGGAGCATCACGTAGCCCCTTCCTCGCTCACACACCTGAGCTGCAGAGGGATGGGGAGACAGCAGGCCTGACTTCCTGGTGCCCAAAGAAGATGAGCTGGATCTGGGAGGGCGCCAGGAAGGCACGGAGAGGAGGGCGGAACCAGTGCGGGCAGCTGTGTTTCTGAGGAAGAGCGTGGGCTCGCCTTGGTGGTAATTGAGCTTTTTTAACGGGTGTCCCCTCAGCCAGCAGAAAGAAGCTGCAGTTCCCTGGTGCAGCGTGACTGCTGCCTAGAGGCACCCTCACCTCCAGCAGAAGCTCTGGTTGCCGGCCCCGCCCAGGCCCCGCATCTCCACCCAGAAAGCTCTCCTCACCCAGCGCTGCCTCTCTGCAGCAGCTCAGCGTGTCGAGGGAGTGTGTTTGAACTGATGTCATTGTTTCTCTCTCAACCTGTTGTAAACAGCAATATTATTCCAGAATGAACCTCCTTTAAAGCTTTAGGGTAAGAGAAAGCCATGCAGACAGGTGGCTAGAGACTTCCTGGGGGTGATGGCGAGGTTGGCGGAGCCCGTGGGTTTAGGCACTGCCTGGGAATTGGGCGGGGACCCCTCTCTGCAGGGCCCTTCTGGTGCAGCTCCAGCAGGGTGGGCAGGCACCGCTGGCCATGTGTCCCCACATCCTTGGCACCCACAGGCTCACTCTGGCACAGGAGCGGTGCCGGCTGGAGCCCCGGCTGCTGCGGGAGAAGGAGGGATGTCCCAGCCCCGGCCATGTGAGCAGCACCTGCTCCACCTGGGAGCTCACCCCAGTCCTCTGTGCTGTTGAGATTTCAGGATGCGCACAGGTGGACTCAGAAATGATAAACGTGTTATCTTACCGTGGGACACACACAGTCAGAGCTGATGCTCTCCCAGGAAGCTGGCCCTTCCCAGCGGGCTCTGAGCTGACGCTCTTAGGCCTCCACATGCCGCGTCTGCATTGGGTTTTCTCGCTGCTGTCCTGGCAGGGGTCCTGGCTGACAACTGAACCGAGTTGCCTCTCCCAGCCTGTGCAGGCTTTTTCTTTCTTGTTCATGGGCATTTGATTGAAGTTTGTGTTTAGGGAGTTGAAGTTCACATCAATTTTACCTGTTATCAGTTTGAAAGACAATGAGATTTAATGGAACTCTGCCAAGCAGCCTCGTCTGTCTGTCTGTCTGAAGGAAATGGGGTGGCAGTTGAAAGCCAGACCCGAAGCCTAGAGAAACTGCAGGACCCACGGCCCTTAAGTGACTGAGGGCAGCCGCCCAGGGTCCTCGGACCCTGTGGCTCCAGTTGTGGACAGATGGACAGCGTCTGGCCTCCATCACCCAGGTCAGCTCCAGGGGGACCCGTGCTGGGCGGGCTGGCGCGGACAAGGACGAGACACCAGGCAGTGGATGAAAGGGAGGCCTTAACGAGTCTCTCAGCGTTTCTAATTCGCGTTTTTCCCCCCTCTGCAGAATAGCCATAAGAACAAATTCCATGTAGACAGCAGTTAAGATTAATCCTAAAAGCACGGGCTCGGTGCTGCTGGCACCTGCAGAGACCGTCCACTTGGCAGCTTGCTGGGAGCAGCCACGCTGGGAAGGGCGTGTATGTGGCTGGCGCTCGGGCTCTCTGGGGGCCACTGGCGCTGTGCTCAGGACGGACCTTGCCGGCAGTCGTCATGGACTCTGACGCGGTGGGACGCACGCAGAAGGACGGGCTGGAATCTGCTGCTCCAGGGAGCCCCCTGACTGGCTTTCCCAGTGTGTGCGCATGTGCTTCTGCGTCTCGATGTCGGCCGGGGGCCGGGGGTGCCAGGGCTACAGCGTGTGGGGCGGGGGTGGGCAGGAGCTTCACCTCTTGCTTTGCTTGTTTCTCAGCCTGGGCCCTCCCAGGCACTCATGCCACGGTCTCTCTCAAGGCTTCCCATTACACATCAGTCTTGTTTGGTTCCCAAACACAAGCAGTGTGTGCTTCCCAGACTGGTTTGTTGACTTAAATGAAGAAAAACCCAGCTGGAGAAAATATCAGTGTCCAAACACCAAGCAACATGTGATACTGTGCAAAAAGCATTGCTTTTGCGTGGTTTGATCGCCATGATGACAAGGCAAAGTGGATGCACGTGTGAGACTTCAGGCAGGAAACGCGGGGCAGGTACACGGCCGAGCTGCCGGCTCCAGTGGCAGGTTGGGTCCCTGTGCCTGTGGGCACAGATGCTCCCCGAAGCTGAGATATGACCAGGATGGCTCGCAGCACCCCCTCCCGAGGAGGCGAGGCCAGCCCTGCCCAGCCAGCGCTGGGAACTCAACCTAGGGCCAGTCGGGATGACAGACCTGATAGAGCAGGACACTGGCCCCCTTCTCAGTGCCCGACCCTCTGCCTCCTGACTGGGGGCCCCAGGGGCAGGGGCTTGTGTCCCTGAACACACTTGCTCACTTTCTGGTTCAGTTTTTGTGGATGTTTCTTTGAGAAGTGAAACAGCGCCCCCCCCCCACACACACACAGAGTTAAATTTCGTGGAAACTTGGAGAACCTCCCAGGGAATAGACATGACACTGCACCTGCTCCTGCTCGTGAGCAGAACCCCTCCTGATGCCAGATGGGCGAGTGGAGCTCGATGCTCCTACGGCCCTGGTCTGAGACTGCTGTGTTCTCAGATGTGTCCCTCATTGCGCTTGCTCGCTGTTTGATTCCCAAGAAGGCACATACTCTCCTGCAGAGCATGAGCAGGGCCCCATGTACACGGGCAGAGCCCCATGCCCATGGCTGTTGCTGAGACCTGGCAGGAACCCGGGGACCCCTGGCACAGCCTTTCCCGTGTGTCTTGGGGGCCTCCCGCAGAAGCTCCCTGCCGCTCTCCAGAAGCATCCTCCATGTCCCCTTGGGCCACCCCTGCCTGGGGGCTGCCTGGTGGGACGCAGACTGGCCCTCCTCCCAGCTGGGTCCCTGCAGTTCCTGGGTCTCCTCTTGCCCCTGGCTGCCTCCAGCCCTCTTCCCATTCATTGCTATGCCTGGAAGGGTGCCCTGTGACACAGAAAGTGCCCAGGAGGGGCATGTGGGCATGCCCAGCCCCCACAGCCCCAGTCTCTCCAGCAGTGGGTGGAGGGCCCTCCACGCCCACAGCAGGTGGCAGGTGGTGCTACTTCGGCCCACACCTTGTTCTCTGTATGGAGACACCGTTCAGGAGTGTTCTGTTAGGACTTTGGCTTCTGGATCCCGGTGTGGAGGAGATTGGGGTGGCAGGGAATTAAAAAATCTGCCAGCCCCATGGCCTTTCCCACCCAGTTTCTAAAAGTTGCAGCTGACCAGTACTGGGTTCTGGTCAGGGGCCTCCTTCCACCGTCTCTCACCCCGGACAGGTCCCAGAAGCTGCAAGGTGACCATGGTCCCAGGCCTCCCTTGCTGGCTCAGAGCCTCCTCCAGGGGCACGTGTGGTGACAGCTGAGAGGCAGGGGCCGGCCGAGCATCGGCAGAAACTGGCGGTCCAGACACGGTGCAGAGCGGCCAGGACTCCGCAGGTGAAGGGCCCATCTCTGGCTCCTCGGCACTCCTGTGACACAACGGGGGTTAAAAGCAGAGGGACACTGACTTCGTCTTTACTCTGCTGCCTTATGAGGAGCAACTGAGGGCCCCTTAGCACCTGTCTGCCTCCTGGAGTGGCCACAGCCCAACTGCGTCACCCCTGGACGGAGACAGGGAGTGCCTGCGAGTGAGCCCGGCCGTGTAGGGCTCGGCGGGGAGCTGGGGAGACAGTGGCAGCTTTACACGTAAGGCAGTGTTCAATTCAGAAATCTGTAGCCTTGCTGGAGTAAATCGTACATAACCTCATCACAAAAGCTGGAGAAAGCGATTCTAAATCTAGAGGCACTGAGAAAAACCCGGTGGTGTGTATGCCTGACAGTCCCCAGACGTCTCCTCAAGAAGAGAAGGTTGGAGCACAGCCCCCAGCCTCTGCCTGGGTCCCGGGAGGGGCACAGCCCCTGCCGCCCTCCATGGAGCCCTGGCGGTGTGCACCCTCACTGACTCCCACGCACACATCTGGCCGTCACGTGACTCCAGCCAGAGCCTCCGGACAGCGCATCGTGCAGTCAGCCTGGGCGCCCAGCTCTGCTCACCTGCCGGAGGGCCTCCCGTGCCATCTCCAGGCCGAGTGCCACGCTGAGAACCCGCATTGGTTTAAAAACTGCCTTTTCTTTGAGATGCAGAATGACACGTCTAAATATTACACCACCAAGAGGTATGTAGCTGTCGGTACTTTTCCATGCAAACATCTGATTGCTGTGCCAGGAAGCAATGTGACAGGTATTGTGTAGTTTCAGGCAGATTGGTCTCAGATGTAGATGAACAGATTTTCGCGAGGAAGGGCTGGGAGCTCACTGGGTGTTGGGCCTGAGCCCGCCAGGCCGCTGAGGGCCCACGTGCTGCCGGCAGGGGCCGCCTCATCTCCGCCGGCCTCCCTGAGGGCCTCTCAGAGCCTCCGCTCCCAGCGCGGGGTCCGCAGACCCTCAGCCGCACTCTTGGTGCCAGTTCTGGACTCGGGCTGCCGTCACCACGGGCTTCTGTGCTGGGAGGGCGGTGCCGGGCTGGAGCTTCCTCTCCTCGGAAGGCCCTGGAGCCAGCCCCGGTGCTGCGGAGGGAAAGACACCACCTCCTTGGTGGTGAGGAGCTGCGCGGAGACCCCGTCTGTCCACTGCAGGGTCCGTGTTGTCCTGCAGCAGCTGTGGGTTGTAGGGGGCCCCAGAGGGACCTGTGCACAACCAGACCCCTGGAACCTGCGCGTTTGACCTTACTGGGGAAAAGGGTCTTTGCAGACGTGCGTCTATGAGGAATCCCACGGGGAGATCTCCTGGATTGTCTGTGTGGCCCCGGATCTGACGTCTTCGTCTGTCTCAGAGGCACAAGAGGAGGACACCCTCAGAGGAGGAGGCGCCCTGACAACGGAGGCAGAGGCTCCACGAGCCAAGGGTGCCCGGAGCCGGAGGAGGCAGGAGGGACCCTCTCCTAGAGCCTCTGGGGAGTGTGGCCCTGGCGGTCCCCAGTTCTTGGACTTCTGGCCTCCAGAGCTACAAGAAAACACATTTCTGTGTCTTCAAGCCCCCGGGTCTGTGGTGCTTTGGTGCAGAGGGACACTGACACGGCTTCTGTGCCCACGTAAGGACTGTGCGGCACGTCCTCAGGCGGATAGCCGGCAGTGAGTTATCCTGGGAAGCCCCTCACCTGCGTCTGGGCATGGGAGGGTCCTCGGGGGCAGAGGTGGTGGCGGGGTCCCCACCTGTCCCTGCAGGAGCCCTGGGGGGTGATCTCAGCACCCTTATCTGAGGACTCGTCCCTTGCAGGGTCTTCCTGTTTAATGAATCAGAGCCCCGTCCGCGCTCTTCACTTCGGCGAAGCCCGTGAGCAGCTCTGACTGGTCGCCAGGCCCGTCCTGAAGCCAGAAGCACTCGCTGTTGCCTCTCTTCTGGGCCTGTTGCTGACAACGGCAGCTGTGGTGTCTGTGAACTCAAGGAGGGGGTGCAGAGTCACGGCAGACCCGCGTCGGTGTGGCTGCTCCAAGCGATGGCCACTGAGAAGCTAGCTGCCCTGGGCAAGTGGCTCAGAACGTTCCAGCAGAACTGACGATGGCCACAGTGCTGCTTGGGAGCCACACGCAGCCCCAGAAATGACCACCAGAGCCAGGTCAGCTCCACGGGTCAGCGATGGCATCCTGAGCCCAGCGCAGCCACCAGGATGCATCTTTGCTCAGGTGCCACCAGGTACGTCTTCCCTACCAGCTGTGCCAGTGTGTCCCAAAGCCACCAAGAATGGGGTGACGCGGGCCTGAGGAGGAGCAGGCAGACTGGGGGAGGGTGCTCGTGCCGTCGGCATCCCAGGGAGAGACCTACACCCGGTCAGGGATCGCACGGCTGCAGGTTAAACATGAGACGGCGCTTCAGTGTCAGCCGGGTTAAAAAAGGACAGAACGTGTGATTCTCGGCCTCCAGAGTTGTGAAAAGGACGTGCACACACACGGCCAGGAGGAGCATGTTGCTGGAGGGCTGTCGGGTAACGCCAACACAAAACGCCCCACATGCTTCCCTTTTGAGAAGCTTACTCTGGAAGGCGCGTGTCTCGCGCACGCGAGGCCGCAGTTACAGGGACACTTGTCACACCAGCGCGTGACGGCAGCTGGTGGGGATGATGCGGAAGTCCCCTTGAGGACACGGGTAGATGAAGTCATGATACAGCGGAACAGCGCCAAGACAGACCTGCTGTGAAAGACGGCGACGCGATCTGTGTGTGGGCACACGGCTAAGCGGGCCTTGACTCGCTGCCGAGTGGGGAGGGTGATGTGATAAAGCGTCAGGTGTCCTAAGTGTTGTGGTATAAAAATTCGTCCTAGCTGTGCATTAAAGTGTAAGACTGGAAGACAGTCTCTCAGAGTGTTTACATGAAGATATCTTGGGCTTTCCTGGTGGCTCAGATGGTAAAGGATCTGCCTGCAATGTGGGATATCCGGTTTTGATCCCTGGTTCGGGAAGATCCCCTGGAGAAGACAATGGCAGCCCACTCCAGTATTCTTGCCTGGAGAATCTGGTGGACAGAGGAGCCTGGTGGGCTACAGTGCCTGGGGTCACAGAGCAGACACGACTGAGCGACTTAATTGTACTACTATTTGGCAGAAATAGTTGGGTGGATTGCTCTGTGGGTGTTGTTTTCCAGTGTTGTTGAACGTATGTATTTATAATCAGAAAAGTAGGATTTGTGGCTGTCCTAAGGATACATACTTACATACAGCCACACACAAGTGGATAACATATACATATGTGTCTATATTACATCGTTTTTTTAAGACCAGCTGTGGAGCAGAGTGCAGCAATATTTGTCTCCAGAGGAGGAAATTGTGAGTAACTGGATTTTGTGTGTGTGTGTGTGTGTGTGTGTGCGTGTGCGTGTGCGTGCTGTATGCTTGCGATGGAAATGGGCTATGTTTGGACTTACAGAAGCACACCTGTTTACTTGATGAGGAAGGGACCCTGACAGGTGCCGTGGGAGGACAGGTGTAGTCTGGTCTTGTGAGGGACTCACTCGTAAGACAGCCCCACCGTCTTTCTCACGTGTCCTCTCCACGTGCAGGACAGTGAGGCCATGGAGCAGTGTGCATGCTCCAACCAGCCAGGGTGTGTGTGTCTCAAAGTCATAGAAGGCGGTGTGGGAGATCCAGACAGTCAAGGGGGGGCGTCCTGGGAGAGGCAGAGCTCAAGCTGCGCTGTTAGCGCCAGACAGGACCTCAAGGACATTTTGAGTGGAAAGGGCAGCCAGATGAGTTGGAGCAGAGGTGCGCATGGGCGACTTTGGCCCCCGCGAGAGAGAATCGGTCAGGGGAGGACAGGCACCCCGCCGCAGCCGAGGACAGAGAGGCGGGGGTCCGTTCTTGGTGGGTTTCGCGTGGTCGCCAGTCGGGGCAGCAGCACACAGCGGTCACCAGGCCTGTGCTGCCCGCACCCTCGGGGGCTCCCCCGCCGCCTCCCGGGGGCACCGTGACCCGAATCGCCCCTTTGTCTGCTGAGGGTGGTGCAGCGCCTGCGATGCAGGGAGCTGTCACGAGGGTGGACGGGCTTCCTGGCATGAGAGAGTCTGGGGAGGGCAGACCCCCAGAGAGGACAGAACAGACTGCAGGGGCCCTCTGGTCTCTCCTCCTTCCCAGGCCCATGAGAACACAGGGCGGGCAGGCCCCTCTGCCTGGCAGAGCCGGCCCGAGCCGGGCGATGCCAGCCTTCTCGTCTCTGTGTCCATGTTTTACATAATTAGTGAAGCCAGTGTCGCTGCATCTTGTTAGAGTCGCTACTAATCCTCAGAGCTAACAGGACTAACTAATTAGTGTAAAACACTTTGAAAATGTAAGAAATTCAGATGTGAAGTGTAATTGGCCAGTCCTCCCGGTATTGACACTGACACCGTGTCTCCAACAGAACCGCCGACCCGGCTTCATCAAGGGGACGTGGTCGTTCGAGGCGATGGTGGCAGGCGGACAGGCTGTCCTTGGCCCCAGGCTGGACAGCAGTGTGTCCTGGGCTGCCTCGGGGCAGGGCAGCGGGTGCAATCTGGCCAGGCGCCCTGCATCCCTGCCCAGGACCCTCAGGGCGGCGGTGACCTGTGGCCCAGGGGAACCATGCGAGTGGGCTGAGTTGCCCTGAGGCTCCAGAGGGTGAAGGAATACGCACCCACGGCCTGGGGGAGACAGGGGGAGAAGGCCCCAGTAGCAGGAGCTCGCCCTGGCGGCCAGGCTACAGCAAGCCTGCCAGACCCCTCTCTGGGGCAGAGCCTGTGACGCTGCCCCGCAGTTGCTCCTGAGGGCGGAGACAGCACAGGCAGGCGCCTGGCATTTGCACTTAACACTTGTTTCCCCCTCAAAAGATAAATGCAGCATCTCCCTCTCAGTGAGCAAGTCACTCAGAAAAGCTCTCTGAGTCCCAGAGCGACCAGTCCACCCTGACCAGTCCACCCCGGTGTGAGCCCTGTGCTGGCATTCCTGGAAACAGGATGACCAGACACTCTTTGGTACGTTACTTCCTAAGGATATACGGAGCTGTCGGCAAATCATCAATCTCTCTCTGAACCACGGTGACAATATTTACATTCGAGATCAAGATGTTGATTATCTGAAGGACTCCCCTGGAAGCGCTCCTCACAACTGGAGAAACAGCAGTCAGCATGCAGAGCCTCATCCTGGCCAGAACTCACAGCGGCCAGTCCCGGAGACCCCGGCTTGCCGAGGGTGCTGCAGGTGGGCCAGCGCCCGGGGCAGTGCTGTCAGCGGGAGGGACTCCACCAGGTCAGCAAAGGCCCAGCCACGTGACTGGTGGCCCTACACGCAGACCCAGCCTCCCAGGTAACTGCTTCAGGCAAACCCTCTCCCAGAAGGCATTCCTGGAGGGAGCTGTTTTTAGATTGTAAAACAATTTCTGCCCAAAAAAGGAGAGGATCAGGGCCCAGCAGAGGTGAAAAGCCAGCTTTGCAAGTGTCACCCCAGCAGCTCATTCACCCCAGGAGCCCTCGGGGCCCCCTGCCGCCCCGTTCCATGGGGCCTCGTCTCAACTCTGGGGCGAAGTGGTGACGGTCTCGCCACAGTCAGCCTACTCCCGCATTTGCTGGGTCCCCACATCTGTGCTGTGGAAACGACTTTGTCATGGCATCACTGTAAAGTATTATAGCAGATCCGTAGTGGTACCAGTGAAAGCTGACTTGATCCCGCCTCCGCCAAGCTGGCACCTGTGGTCCTCACGGCACCCCGCCATGGACAGCCTTCCCCCACCCCAGGACAAGCATGTATCCTCAATGGTGAAGGCCAAACTTGAGCCCGGGGCCCTCACCTCGCGGTCGGCATGACCCATTGGGCTCCATGCCTGTGCTGCTCATTCTTGAGTCAGGTCTGGAGAAGCCTACATGTCTCCACCCTAACTTGGCCCCGAGAGCCTTCGAGCCAAAACTCCAGGAGCTGCTGAGAGTCCCCTGGGTGTTACCATCCCGGCTTCTGACCGCAGTGCGTCCCCACCGCAAGCACATGCCCCAGGAGCCAGGCCAGGGTATTCCCGGGCCTGCCGTGTCTGAGCACTTAGACAGGAGCACGTGTGTGCCTGGTGGTGTGTTCACAGGGTGAAATGCTGTGTGGCGGTGAAAGTGAACACAGCCAAGCGCTGTGACGGGTGTGACTTAGGACTGCGACAGCAAGTGAACAAGGTAGGGGGCAGCAGGCTGCAGATGGGTGACGTTTACAAAGCTCACAGACACATGCACATGCATGTCTGGTCACACACGCATGCAAACATGCACATCACTTCAGTTGCTCAGTTGTGTCCGGCTCTTTGTGACCCCATGGACTGCAGCACGCCAGGCCTCCTTGTCCATCACCAGCTCCCGGCGTTTACTCACATTCATGTCCATCGAGTCAGTGATGCCACCCAACCATCTCATCTGTTGTCCCCTTCTCCTCCTGCCTTCAATCTTTTCCCGCATTAGGGTCTTTTCAGATGAGTCAGTTCTTTGCATTAGGTGGCCAAAATATTGGAGTTTGAGCTTCAGCAACAGTCATTCCAGTGAATATTCAGGACTGATTTCCTTTAGGATGGACTGGTTGGATCTCCTTGCTGTCCAAGGGACCCTCAAGAGTCCTTTCTGACACCACTGCTGCTGCTGCTGCTAAGTCGCTTCAGTCGTGTTCAACTCTTCATGACCCCATGGACTGCAGCCCACCAGGCTCCTCCATCCATGGGATTTTCCAGGCAAGAGTACTGGAGTGGGCTGCCATTGCCTTCTCCGACACCGCACTGAGGATCAAATCTTAAATTTAAGAGGATACCGGCATGGTGAATGCAAGTGAAAGGTGTTGCCTCTGGGTCAGAGGTGGGGAGTGGACATGCCCCTCCCAGGAGGCCCCAGCTCACTTCCTTGTGGCTCTTGAACTGGGTGTGGTGTCTCTGGTGTCCTTGTAACACTTTGCTGACCTGTGTGCTACCCACATTTCCATTTCTTTTGTATCAAGTACTACACAACATGAAAATTGTAAGCAGGCCATTGAAGGCCACCATTCTGCGCGCTGTGTGCCTGCTTCTAGGGAGATTCTTGACACTTGGGTGACCCCAGAAAGGGTTCACGTTGATGCCCTTGAACTATTCTGAGCGGGGCTGCTGATGTTCCTCCTGTTCCGTGGGCTGGGGGGGTCGGGGGGGTCCAGCAGGCTCTCCGGCTGGAGGGGCTGGCCTCTGCCAGCCTGGGGGCCCTGGGGGCACGTGCAGTACCAGAGGCTGTGCGGGAGGAGCCCCCCGTGCCCTCACTGCTTGTTGACTGGCCACAAAACTGAGCTGTGGGAGCAGCTCACGGCCACGGTGGCTCTGCCAGAACAGCCTGCCTCCCCCCCGCTCCCCCGGGAACCCACATCCCCTCCTGCATCCCAGACGTGCGAGCGGAGGTCAAGAGCAGGGCCCCTGCCCCTCAGGACTTTGGCCCTGGGCTCCCACCCGCAGGCCTTGGCCCCACGGGCTTTCAGACCCCTAGCACAGCAAGAGATCCAGGCAGGCCCGGCCCCCGCGGGCCTTCGTGGCCTCAGAGCGCCAGCTCAGCGCAGAGGGCTTCACCGGCTCAGGTAACGGGGACTGAGCTGCAGAGAGCATCTCCAGGGGAGCCCGTGGCAGCGTGGGTGGGCGCTGCTCAGGAGCGAGCTCGTGGGCCACCATCCCATCGGTCGGACGCAGCTGCGCTGAGGGCGTTCAGACTTCAGCTTGCTGGACGCTTTCTCCACAATGAATGGGGACTCAGACTAGGCTTCCGAGGCAGGGGCCCAGGTCCAGCCCCTGGTAAGGGAGCCAGATTTTGCACGCCACTCTCACGTGCCCCAACGAAGACCCTGCACAGCCAAATCAATACATGTTTTTAAAACGAATGAACTGACCCTGTCCCTTCAAGGAGGACAACTGAGGATATTTGTTACCAATGATAAAAACCTGTATTTGAACAAAAATTAGAATTTTTGGAAACTTGGCGTCTGCCACTGTGAGCTTTACAGTTCCTGGATACTTGGGTTTTCTGATGAGATTAGTGATGTAAACAGATGTTAACTTTAGCAACATTTTGTAAAGATACATGTCAGTATTTGAAAGACCTGTGTGACTCGGTGAGCCAGCTTCCAGATGATCAGTGCAGGGTCCCAAACCCACCGTGAGTCGGAGCACCTTGCAGAGGACAGGCGGGCTGGGCCAGGCGGAGTGAGACGCTCGCCGCGGCGCTCAGGCCTGCAGCTGAACGTGGAGAATCGCCTGCTGTCTGGTTTGGATGCCAGTTTGGAGGAGAGGATCTGCAGTTTTCCGAAAAGGCTGCTCGAATCCTCCTCCCGTAGCAACTGTGAGGCCAGTTCCTCACCCAAGTGGACAAAACTTGGTGTTTGGAGAATGCCAGGGAGTCGGGTTTTCTTCCTGAGTGCAGGCGTTAGAAGATGGGCATGAGTGCAAGACAGTGCCGCCCATCTGTCTCTTCTTTTTCTTTGCTTTAGGAAATACAGATTTTTTTAATTATGTGTTTATGAACATAGGCTTATATATAATGGGGGTCTTGCTATTTTGAGACAGACTAATAAGTAATTTTAAATTTCTGTTGCATTTCCTAGTTTGCTAACCATCAGCGGATGTAACCCACGTATCTATTGTTGAAGCCTCGGTAACTTTTCCACCTGTAAAGATGAAGAGAACACGCATTCTGCAAAGGGCCCTAGGGCAGGGATGGGGCTATGGGTCAGCCCTGCTAAAGAATTTCATTCAGAGGGTGCGTCCGAAGAAATGACTGTGTGAGGGCAGGTGAGGGAGCTTATTTCTCAGTTAACATGCAACGCCAGGAGCGCGCCCTGTTCCCGCGTCTGCGTTTTGTGCTGTTGACTTTCCCAAGCCACATCCACATTCACAATGTGAAGAGGAGGGGTAAAACCAAGTTATTACTAAGCTGCGTTATGTTGATGAGTTAGAGATGGATAGTTTACAAGCCAGCCTTTATCCTTTTGTGCTAAGACTGAAACACTGCCACTGAAAAAGAAATAGATGGTCGGCGGGCGGGGGGTGGACTCAAATTGCAGATGGATGGAGCTTTCAGCATGCTTTCCATCCTGATGTTCCCTGAGCTGGTGACGGGAACTGGCAGCTGTGAGCCAGTGATTCAGGGTTTTTTTGTTTTTTTCACTTTGTGTTTTATAGGTGGTGTTTAACCAGGCCCCCTTAAAATGTGTTATTGTTAGAAAATAAACCAAGAAACAAGGAATAGTAATTCAGTTTCAGGAAGTTAATTCTGGAGACCCCCCGACCTTTGAGCAGTCACGTGGCTATTGATTTCCAATACCGTGAGGTGGCGTGCCACCCTGAGCGTGGGGTCCAGCAGACCCCAAACAGTTTCTCCCTCATCAGTCGAGTCCCTGAGTACTTGAGCATTAAGACAACAAATGTCCACAGTTAACGGTGTCTCACATGGAGGGGGGTGGACGTGCCAATTTTCTAATGAAGGCGGGCTGTTGGCAAACACACCAGTCGTCATATATTGAGGAGGCTGCCTTTTGTGTATCTCCAGCACTCCTGAGTGCTTCGAAAGATACCAGTTACATCATTGTCTAAGGGCCAGGTGCCGAGGGAGAAACATCCACTCGCTGCCAAGACAAAAACAAGCGGGGCCAGAGTTAAGAGCAGGATGAGGCTGGTTTTTGTAGGAGGCGTGAGAAATAGCTTTTCCAGCCGTACTCAGCGGAAGGAGCATTCCAGATGAAAGCAGTGGCTCGGACCCCTCACTTCTTCACAAAGAGGCATCTCAGTAAATCCCTCACTCCCAGCTTAACTCGCTCCCTGCGTGGAAGGATCGGCATCATTTTTCTCCATATCCAGGGGAGGAGAGCAGGCGATGCCTTTGGGTCTGAACCCGTGGAACCTGGCCGCCCCCTCCTCAGCCGTGACGTGAGGAGCTGGCGAGTCATCTGAGGTGCGCGCACCTTGGCACCCCCTTACCAGCTGCGCCTGCCCCACCCCCACCCGCAGTGAATTATGGCTGCCATCTTGTATCGATTACTGAAAATGTTATATTTGCGGGAAGAAAATGCCATTGCTTTAACTGTCAGCATTACTAGGGATTTTAAAGTTATTTTTTACAGAGACGTGTGGAATAAAAAAATTTTTTTAAGCAACTGCATGAAGTGAGGAGAGAACTGAATTATTAAATCACAAAAAAATCAATTCTCAGTTCGGTCTGGCCAGAGGAGCATTTCTCAGCTCAGGTAAATAGTTTAAAGTCAGACACGTCTCACACTGGACTTTTTACAAGAATGGAGAAATTTATAATGAAATTCAACAAGGAAACTGGAAAAACAGCCAAATTGGTGCAGCAAAGTGGTTAATAGGATCATTAGCCTACGCGCTGTATTTTTTTGGACACTGTGAGCCTGTACCAGGGTGCTCGAGACCAGATTGCGGGAACAGGCTGACAGTTAGTAGCTAACTCAGCAGTGCTGGGTACAAACTGCCATCTTCCTGTGGATTTACAGCTGCCACTTCTGCTACTTCAATTAGTTCTATAGCACACAGATGTTGCTTAAATGTTGCTGCTAATGATACTGCAATAAGCGTAAGATTCATGCCATATTTTGAGGCACGTAAATTTCTCAAGTGGCACAATTAAAGTGGAAATATTAGGTGGGGAGAACTTGGCAGTCTCTCCAACTTGGAAGGCACACCCGCTATGCAATAATGGGTCAAAAATTCATTCAAGTTTTACTGCTGTTCCGAGTTTTAAAAGACTTTTCACAGTTGAATGCAAAGTAGTAAAAACCAGGGTATTAGGAAATGAGAATGCAGTTCTGTTATTCAGACATGACTTTTAATTTCAAATTGAAATCATATGCTCGCTTTTCTGGATCCGACCAAAGGGAACAGGTACAGGCTGCAGAGATGTCGTCTCTAAGCCTCGGAAGTCCCGGGTGGAGGTGTGTTCACTGCTGGGCCGGCAGCTGAGTCAGGGCCACCAGGACTCAGGGGTGGGGAGCATCACTGTCCCCCACAGCTGGGGCCACAGAGGCAGGCACCTAGACCAGCCCTCACACGAGGCCACACGTGTGTGCACACACATTTTGACACGGGCATGCACGTGTGCACACTAGGCCTGTGCCTCTGACTCGGGGAGCAAAGAAGGACAAGGGGGCCCCCTAGCCTCCCGCCACCCCACAGGACCCCCTCAGAGTTTCTCTCCCCCACCTGTAGTCCTTTGGTCTTCCCAGCACAGTCTCCTGCCAAATCACCAAATTTCCTTCTCCAAGAAGAACCTCTCCTGTGGAGAAAAGCTTCTCCCTGATGGGTTGTCACTTCCGCTTCCGATTCCCTCTCACCCCACTTAAGGAAGGTGCTTCTTGTTGGGTGGGGGGTTCCCTCTCACCCCACTTAAGGAAGGTGCTTCTTGTTGGGTGGGGGGTTCCCTCTCAACCCACTTAAGGAAGGCGGTTCTTCTTTGGGCGCTGCACCCAGTCGGCTGTCCACCTCCTGAGCCTCTGATGGGACACGGTGACCCCCAGCCCGTCTCACTTGCTGATCTGGACCTGTTATTAGGGTCTGTTAGGACTCGAGGCCGCGTGCCGGGTGGCAGGGACATGGGCCCCTCCGCGCCTCTGCTGGGCTCCTTTCCGCACACATCCTGTTCCGGTAGTGATGGGGGCCGTCTCCAGTGGGCTGTCTACATAATGTTGTCTTGTAGACATCTGCCAAGTACTTCCCCTCCTTAGATGATGCAACTCATTTGGTGAAACCTTCCCCAGGCAGGTCCAGGACTGAATGGCCCAGCCCTCGGGAGACTCCTCCACATCTGTCTGTCTGTCCGTCTCTCCCCGCTCCTGGTCTCACCACCCCGCCTCCCGCGCCCCCACCACAGGCCCATCGCTCTGAGCCTTTGGCACCTGGATTGCGTACAGCAAATCTTACAGATGTCAGGATGGCCTTGTTGTGAAGCAGAAAGGACAATGAGTTCCTGCTGACCTCGGTACAGCGGCTCTTGCTGGAGCACAGTATGTATTTTCTCCTGGCGGTGAAGAGCCCGCAAGTAATTGACGGAGAACAGAAATGTCACGGGAGCACTTGTGTTGACACTGCTCTGTGCGTGGAGGGAAGCCCAGCCCGGCAGTGGGGGCTGAGCAGGAGCCCGGGAACTTGTAATTTAGCGAGGACAAGGCGGAGAGATCAGTCTGGTCAGAGTCCCCAAGTCCTGATGAGCTGTCCCAGGACCACGGGGGCCATGGGGAGAGCCCCGTGTGGCACAGACGGCGCGGAAGCGGAGCCCGGCTGCTCGCCCGGCCTGTTTCCAGCCCTTTACTGCCTTCCATGATGCTTAATGTACTGTTTGTGTATGTTGTCCTTGCCGTATATTTGATGTGCTCTCATATATTTTACTCATCTCTGGCTTCCACAAAGGCATGCTCCCAGCAAAACTGAGGCTCATTATTTGCCACCATCAATCAAGTGTCGGTGTGGTCGGCACCTCGTGGGATGGTCTTGATTTTAAGTATAAACGTAACTCCTGCTCTTTGGGGCCACTTCATTCTCTGTCCCTGGTCTGTTGAGGGGTTGTCTGGATGCTGGA